TTTCTGAAATCCAAGATTACATTGTCTGTGAGACCAACATACTGCTGAAACTCTCAGAGAGCTCAAAGATTTAGAGAAGCAGGACTTCCCTTTACAGAAGTCATGCTGATTCTTCTTTAGACATGTTCTCCTACATACTTGATATGACAGAATCTTTAATAATGTGTTGATAATATTTATCTTTAATAATGTGCTTCTCTAATCTACCCATAAAGATGTTAACATTAAGCTAACTGGCCTGTAATTTCCCGGATTCCTTTAAAAAAACAGGTGTTACATTGGCTACTTTCCAATGTAACACCTATTTACATTGCTAGTATGGAGGCCAATTTTAGAGGCAAGTTACATATTTTTGTTAGAAGATCAGCAGTTTCATATTTGATTTGTTCTCTTGGGTGGATGCCATCTGGTCCTGGCAATTTGTTCTTTTTAGTTGCCAGTAAGCCTTAGAAGATCATGTCTATTTGTCTCAGTCCTTCAGACTATCTCCTCAAAAAAGTCAGCCTATGCATAGGTTACCTACATCTTTCGCAGCAAAGACAAGCACAAAATCCTTTCAGCCTCTCTGCAATTTCCCTGTACACCTTTGGCAGAAACTCTTTTATCCTGTAATGCTCCAACTGCCTCACTGACTAATTTCCTGCTTCTGACCTTTTTTTGATTGTTGGTCTTGGCAATAAGAACAATTATTGTTGTGTTGTTTTCAGCAGTTCTCAAATTCTTTTTTCCCCACTTGCCTTATTGTCAACATACATTTGTCTTTCTTCCAGAACATTGTGTGCTCAGAACACTTATCCACAAAAGTGGATGTGCAATTTCCATAATGTTAAGATATTCCTGTGTCGTTAATTGCACACTGTTGCACATTTTAAAAGCACCTTCATTCGCCATTTGATTACCTTGTAAAATAAGCTATTGTTCTATTTGCATTTTGCCAACAAGAATAAGGTAGCATTACTCAGGCTCAATTTCTAGTGAGAAATTAAATAATCCTTACCCAGCTCCATAGGTGGACACCAGTCACCTTGGCAATTATGGACAACAGTTCAAATATATTCTCCATACATCCTCCTGTCTACTGAACACCCACTACACTTGAATTTGGAAGCTAATTGTTTGTGAGGGGTATTTCATCCATTTCCTACAGATCTAAATCAAATGCGGATTAGTGGCTGCTGTCCCTATCCTCTCCACCATATTTTTCATGTTCCTGTAATGGAGATGTTCTTTGGTCTTGCATTCTGCTTCAGCCAATCAGAAATGTGGCCTGCAACTTGTGGGTGCTTTGTGATAGGACACCTGTTTTGAAAGCAGAAGGTCTAGGTTCAATCCCTGACACCTCCAGTTAAGCAGAACAGAGGACAGATGATTGACTGCCAGTCAAGTTTTAGGTCCCAGGCACATGACAACTATTATTTGCTTCTCTGAGCATGGGCAGCATGAATTTCCTTCTTATTAGCAGTCTGAGCCTAACTATGCCTAATTACTTACAAGATAAAAATAGAACAGTAGTCACTTTTTGATGGTCATCAGAGACAGCGATGGAAGTCACAGCCAAGCTTAACTGGTGTGTTGCTTTCCATGCAAAGGCACAACAGCCCCAGTGCTGATCACCTTTAGATTAACAGCAGAACATCCTGCACATTTTTGTTTTATTCACAAACCCTGCAGCCTGCTTGAGACTTTTATTCACGTGTGAATATGCAATTTTCACTTCAAGCATGAAAAATAACAGCTTTCACAGCATTCCTGTTAATTATAGGTCTCCTTTCAAAAGTCGTGCGTGACAAGGTGTTAAGAATATTGTCTCAGTAGTGGTCACATATAAATCATTTCCACATTACAATTTTTTTAATGGTTTGGGCAAGTTGGTTCCAAAGGATAGAAGTTGCATTCCCTGTCTAAGTCATAGTCAGGGAGAACCTACAGAAATCAATTGACAAGTTAGTCATGACTAGTCTTACATAACTCCCTTTGCTGGTGTGGATACAGGATGTTCGCGGTGCACTGTAGGCCAGACCATATAACTAAACACAGGAGATTGGTATTTGGGTTGAAATAGGCCACAACTCTATTGATTACAGATTCTAGTTGGTTTGGCCAAGGCATTAGGTATGAATCTAATATCAAGCAGCCTACCTACCGTGGTATCGTGGGACGCGGGTGGCGCTGTGGGTAAAAGCCTCAGCGCCTAGGGCTTGCCGATCGAAAGGTCGGCGGTTTGAATCCCCGCGGCGGAGTGCGCTCCCGTTGCTCAGTCCCAGCGCCTGCCAACCTAGCAGTTCGAAAGCACCCCCGGGTGCAAGTAGATAAATAGGGACTGCTTACCGGCGGGAAGGTAAACGGCGTTTCCGTGTGCTGTGCTGGCTTGCCAGATGCAGCTTGTCACGCTGGCCACGTGACCCGGAAGTGTCTCCGGACAGCGCTGGCCCCCGGCCTATAGAGTGAGATGGGCGCACAACCCTAGAGTCTGGCAAGACTGGCCCGTACGGGCAGGGGTACCTTTACCTTTACCTTACCTACCTGCTGGTTGATAAACCAATTCAGGTAAACCCTGAAGTGGGGAGCTGCCCCTGTCATGCACCAGGTGCCATAACCCTGCCCAGGGTTGGCATTGGGAGAGGTGTTTTGGCCCATTGGCCCCCAACGGGCTCCCGGACAGAGTCACCCTTCCTAGACCCCTTTAATGGGGCACCTGCTCAAATAAGGATCCAACCCAATGTCTTATCTGCCAGAGTTGTGACAGTTGCTATGAAGTAGGCAAATTCCTCCCTGGGCCTAAATATTGTGGCCAATAAACCATAGGAAGGTCCCGTTCACCTCCTGGATGGATGTCTGGTGAATCCTGCAGTGATCATCCAAGAGGGCAACCCACAGCAGGCCACCCCCTGAAAAACAGTGGGAGTATCTTCATCTTCTCCCCCCTGTGGCCTGATAGGTCCATGGGACAGGATCTAGCTGGCATCCCAGCATGGCCGGGAAGGGGAGACACAAAGCATCTCTTCCTCTACTGTCCCAGCCATGTGGTTCCAGAGCCGTGCCATGGTTGTGCCACGTGGTAAAGGCTGCCCACCTGGAAACCCAGGTCAGTGGTATTATTTCTGTGGGTTTGCTCTGAGTATAACAAAATCAGACACATCCAATGTATGTTAATTGATGTGGTGCTTTTATTGGTTTGTATAGTTTATTTATAGGTTTGTATAGAAATGGGAAAGCTTCCAGTTTCCACAAAAAAATCTGCATAGATGAAAGTTAAGATTCGGGTACCTTCTGCCACTTGTAAGCCAGAACAATAAATAAAGCATTTTAAAAAATGCTTATTATCCTTACGTTTTGTAAACAGTTTGTTATCTGCAATGCAGATTTTTCAGTCCATTGCAATCTAGTTCCATCAGTCTAAGTTGGGCCAATCAAATGCACAATCTTAGCTACATGATATCCTCTTATCACAAAAGCATGTGGGGGGTTTCTTTTCTTTCAAAGGTAAAGCTTTCATTTCTGCTAGTGTCGACAGGCATATCAAAGGTAGAATTGTCCACCACTCCCTGGGTAATAGCAACTTAATACAATGAGAAGAGGGAAAAGCACAGAAAGTTCTCCAAGTAGCATAGCAGTATGTGCAGTAGGATGGCAGCAATCGTTTTGTTTGAAAGGATCCAATTTCAGAAAGCAGCATGACCATTTTAAAAGTACTGTTGTATAAACATTTTATGACATGGTTTCCTTTCAACCCTGTGCTTTTACTTTTTCCGCCTATCATGACCCATGTAGGAAAAGTTGTAGTCATATCAACAGCAGTGGGTTTCCCTCCCCCCCCCCACCTGTGCTGTAGTTGCTACTATACAAACAGTTTAAGAACAACCATTATATATGGGGCTTCCAAAATGCATCTGCAAAATCTCTGAAATGCAAATATGGGAATGTGTTACAGTTGGTAGAGAACTAATGATATTCCCCATGCAATATTATTATTATTATTATTATTATTATTAGGCTATCATAATTGTTTCCCTCTAGAAATGTCTGCATGCTGTTTATTTGAGAGCTTTCATAATTCTGTAAAAGATATTGCTGCATTTTATCAGTAGTATGCAATTCAAATAAAGTGTTTCTATTTCTATTATATTTCTCTCTGGAAAAAAATTCACAGAATTCTCTGTTTTCATTTAAGGTTTGGTATATGTTTAAAGAACTGATCTTTCACTCTTACAAATGTTTTTAAAAATACCAACACTTTTAATGTTATGGCACTTGATAGTACTCTTCCTGATGGCACAGTTTTTGGAGGATTTAAACCCTTGTCAATAACTCTCTAAGTCTGAAAGAGATTTTTATCTATAGATTCCAAGAAAGACTGTAAAAAAAAATAAATAGTAGCAATGATCATTCTCCGATAGGAGATCATGACAACGTTATCAAGAAGCAAAGTCACAAATGAGCCAAATATTCTTGGCTATGTGCCCATGCATTGGGCAATAGAAGAAAAAAGTGACTCTAGTAAATTGTAAGATGCTGGCATGAAGAAAGGATTTCTACCAGTTTATGAATGTGGCTATTGCTCAGCTTTAAAGCAAAGCAGGGTACAAGCTGGAATAAATCCTGTGTTTGCCCACCTTTTAGTGGAGTCTGAAATAAATGTCCACGATGAATAAATGTATTTCATCTACTGTATATGCTATGAAAGTTACACTCACCTTCCCTGTAGGGAGGAAATACAGTGGACACTTGGGTTGCGAACGTGATCTGTGCGGGATGCATGTTCGCAACCCGCAGCGGCGCGTCTGCGCATGTGCAGTTTGCAATTCGGCGCTTCTGTGCATGAGCAAAGCGCAATTTAGCTCTTCTGTGCATGCGTGACCACTGAAACCCGGAAGTAACGCGTTCCGGTACTTCCGGGTTTCGGCGGGTCCGTAACCCAAAAAAACGCAACCTGAAGCATCTGTAACTCGAGGTATGACTGTAACTCTTTCACAAAATGTGTTGCCCCTTTTCTTCTTTAGAACCAAAGAAAATGGCTTTGACAGAGAGCCTTTGCACTCAGAGCATCCAAGCAAGCGGCCCTGCACTATTAGCCCAGGCCAGCGGTACAGTCCAAATAATGGTTTGTCTTACCAGCCCAATGGTCTGCCTCACCCCACTCCGCCTCCACCTCAGCATTACCGTTTGGATGATATGGCCATCGCCCACCACTACAGGGACTCATACAGACACCCCAACCACAGGGACCTCAGGGACAGAAACAGACCTATGGGTAAGCAAAGCTCTTCCTCTTGGTTTGCTCTGCATAGGCATCAAACTTCAGTTGCTCTTTTATGAGTAGAGAAATGTATAATACAGTCCTTGAATTTATCGCAGCGCATGTCTGAAGATGGGTAGGGGAGACAATCTCTCCGGTGAATTGCCCTGTTCTCCGCCCCTGCAGAGTTAGAAAGTAAGAATGCGGAGTTTAGACCTGCTCTGCCTTTTCTACATTCCTGTTTCTGGGATGGCCAGAAATCACAAATGTTTAATAAATAAAAATATGTTTGATTAAAAGAAAATGCGGGTTCAGAAAGGCATAGAAATGTTTATTTTATTCTTATGGGGTGTCCCCCCCCCGGTAGATGCATCTTTCATGGCCCATTGAAATAAAAGGAAGTTAGACAAAACAATATATATGCTTTTTTTGTATGTCTTCCATTTAATTCCACATCAATTTGCAGTGGAATTCCCAGGAATTTGTGCCCTAAGACTGTATTGACTTCCATAAACTATTGAAAGTTGAGATGCCCTCTTGCCACTCACTTCCATTTAATGCCATTGTTTTAGTTATAGAATCATTGTTTCAGTTGGGTTTTTATTTTATGTTTTTGGAGCAGATCGTATGTTGAATGCCAACGTGTTCTAGAAAGAGACCAAGTCACAATCACTGCTGGAGGATTTATCTCGGGTCTAGAAACTGGATAGTGGTGGAATAAGCATATGAAGGAATCTTATCCTGAGTTGGACCATTTATCCACCTAGTTTATTATTGACTGGCAGCACCTCTCTAGAATTTCAGACAAGGTTTTTCCCTAGCTTTACCTGTAGATACCAGAGATTGAATGTGCTCCATCATTGAGCTCTGTCCTTTCCTGAAATAACTCCTTCAGGTGGAACAGAGGACAGCAGATATAGACCCTTTCTTTCAGTTTTAAGCATTGCAGCAGTAAGACGACCTTAAAGGTAAAGGTAAAAGACGCCTGACAGTTAAGTCCAGTCGCGAATGACTCTGGGGTTGTGCCGCTCATCTCGCTTTACTGGCCGAGGGAGCCAGCGTTTGTCTGCAGACAGTTTTTCCGGGTCATGTGGCCAGCATGACTAAGCCGCTTCTGGCGAAACCAGAGCAGTGCACAGAAACGCCGTTTACCTTCCTGCTGGATTGGTACCTATTTATCTACTTGCACTTTGAAGTGCTTTTGAACTGCTAGGTTGGCAGGAGCAGGGACCGAGCAACGGGAGCTCACCCCGTCGCGGCGATTCGAACCACCGACCTTCTGATCGGCAAGCCCAAGGCTCAGTGGTTTAGACCACAGCACCACCTGTTAGTGGAAGGAAGCTCTTGCAAGGGGACTTTCCTGTCCCTTCCATCTCCCATTCCCCTCAAAAACTCTTTCTGGTGGGCAAAGAGACCATCCTGAATAGGGTGTGGGGAGCTGTTGGGGTGGGGTGAGGCATCTTGGTAAGCAGAACAAAACTTGCACTCCTTAGGATCCAGATCTAATGCACAGTGTCCCATACACTGTGGCAAAATGGCACTATAGCCAGAGCCACATTCAAGGCCAGTTTTCTGGCACATAGCAAGGGACCCAGCTATCTGAGAGACTGCCCCTCCCTATATTAGCCAGTGTGCCAGTCGTAATTGGACAATCAAGCCCTTCTCTGTGGGTTGTCACTGCAGCAGTGGTAAAGACCCTGCTGATGGCTGTCATCAATCTAATGACTGCCATTAGCAGGGTCTTTACCACCATGGCCCCTAAACTTTGGAATGCTTGGCCTGTTACACGAGGAGATCCTTGCCTTTATCTGCTTTTTTGCACAGTTGATTTTGTGGATGTATCACAGAGGGCTTTGTATGTTTCACCCAATTGGGAGGGGTAGTTTTCTTTCATTGGATGCCTTTTATTATATGATGTCAGCTGCTTTGAGCATGAGGGAGCAGTCTGAATGTGTTTTAAATAAATGAATGAATGAATTCTCTTTGCCCCCATCCTTATTTCTGTTTATTGATTGGACCAGAATGTGATATGCCTGCTCGTGTTCCACTTATCACTGTCTAGCAATGTTCTCTCCTCCTTATTGATCTCATAATACTGAGGATCAATGGGGCAAGCCTGTATTTTTTTTTGTGTGTCTTTTTTTATTGACTATCTACTTCTCCAGAACTGCTGTTGGGGACTTAGAAGGTCTTATGTGATCTTATTCTGTGCCTCTTTCATTTGCTTGATGCTAGTGTATCTGTGTTGTGTAATGGTTGTTCCTCATAACCAGGCAGTGTTGTGAATGCCTATAATTTATGGGTATACGTGGAAAATTAAATTATTGCTAGTTGACTCTTGTATGTTATTAATATTTCATGGGGGGGGTTGCTTGTTTTTGGCAGGGTTGCATGGCACACGTCAAGAAGAAATGATTGATCATAGGCTAACAGACAGAGAATGGGCAGAAGAATGGAAACACCTCGACCATGTAAGAAATACCTGTGCATTTTTGTGTCTCAATAGATGTATAAGTAGATTGCAGTCTCAAAGTAATAAGCATTATGAAATGAGTACTATTTAAATTATTCAGGGCTCCCCAAACAGCACAAGAGAAACTTGCACCACTTCCCACACTGCTGACGTAACGTAAGAAGTACTCGGCCCCTTTAGTGAAACCCATTGTGAGGCTGCTCCCTGTACCGACACCAACAGTGAAAACTAGGGCAATTGCAGCATGCAATAGACTCACAGAATGGGTGGCTCCCAGATGGCTCTGGGCTTCATTCATCACATAGTGGCATGGGAAGAAGTTCCACCATGGCAGTTCCCATGCCAGCAGTGCAACATGAAATCAGAGCAGGATATTTGTATGTCCCCCAAGGAATTGTATATTGGGTGCCCTCCAGAACTGTTCCTTCAAAACCTGCTAGTTATTTGAACAAGGAAAGAGTTCTCAGCACTGTGACTGAATAAACATAAAATATGATTAGACAGTAAAAACAAGTATGGTGTCGTGTCAAGTCCGAGTTCCAGGTTCAAATCCCCACTCATGGAATGGGTGTGGTGTGAAGCTTTATCATTTCCTTTCTGACACCTTTTCCTTTCCGACTTCCAGCTTTTAAACTGCATCATGGACATGGTGGAAAAAACAAGGCGATCTCTCACTGTGCTACGGCGATGTCAAGAAGCTGACCGGGAGGAACTTAATTACTGGATACGGCGGTACAGCGATGCAGAGGATTTAAAAAAAGGCAGTGGTAGCAATCACTCCAGGCAGCAGAGTCCAGTGAATCCAGATCCCGTCCCTTTAGGTACTGTATCTGCGTTAAATGGAAACTTGTTGTTGTTGTTTAGTCGTTTAGTCGTGTCCGACTCTTCGTGACCCCATGGACCAGAGCACGCCAGGCACTCCTGTCTTCCACTGCCTCCCGCAGTTTGGTCAAACTCATGCTGGTAGCTTCAAGAACACTGTCCAACCATCTCGTCTCTGTCGTCCCCTTCTCCTTGTGCCCTCCATCTTTCCCAACATCAGGGTCTTTTCCAGGGAGTCTTCTCTTCTCATGAGGTGGCCAAAGTATTGGAGCCTCAGCTTCAGGATCTGGTAGCCAATATGGCAACTTTGGATGCCATTCTGGTCTTACTTAAACATTTCTGTTTCGACTTGCAGAATGGTAAAACCTTTGCCAAGTGTGTGCCGTTCTTCTGTGGTTTTTGTTTAAATCCTGGTACCAAGTCTCTCCTGAGAAAAGCAATGAATATATTGCTTATATATATGAATATATATGAATATATTCATTCTGTATTATCTTTTAAATTGTGCAGTTTAACATTAGAGGAGTAATGCCAAGTCAGTGTGGTTGTGGTCGAGAGGAAGGCAGGCCAACAATTGAATATGGCCTCAAGTGTAACTGGTACACTGTTGCAGTAGGTACTTCTCCAGCCAACAGAGGAACTGAGGGATCATGGCCATAGTCATTTTTTTTTAAAAAAACAACTTTTAATTAAGGCCATCACAAAATATAAATATTGCTTTTGTGTGCTCTCTGTATTTCAGATGTCAGAGATCCCCCTTTGTCATTTTTAATGAGCTAATCCACCCTGTAAAAATTACCAGCTTGTCATCTCCAGTAGCTTTGTGTGGAGGAGGGGAGGACCATCTGTTACGCTGTTGCGTCTTTCCCCCCTTTATGATTTATATTAATATCCATTCTGAAGATTAGTTTTGACTATAGTTATAATCAGCCCATTTTCAGTCACTATGATGATTCTAATCCAGAGGACCATGAATGGAAAAAAAGAAAAGAAAAATACCGCTCACAGAATTCTGTGCACACACGTACAAACCTTTGCTCTGGGTGGAACAGTCTTCCACGGATGCAACTTGATTCCCTTTGCTCAAGTTTTCAGTTTCAATAACTTGTACGAAGCAAATAGATGATTCTCGTGGTATTCTCGTATGCAGAGCACTTTTATCAGTTATGACCTTCCTAATATAAAACTGCACTGAGATGAGGGGCCATAGCAGCTGCATGAAGAGAATACAGTGGTATTCTCAAACCTAACCCATTCCAGGAGTCCATTCGACTCCCAAAACCATTTGAAAACCAAGGTGTGGCTTCCGATTGGCTGCAAGAGCTTCCTGTACTCAAGCAGAAGCCACGTCGGACGTTCAGCTTCCCAAAAACGTTCGCAAACCAGAACACTTACTTCCAAGTTTGCAGTGTTCAGGAGCCAATTTGTTCGACAACTAAGCTGTTCGAGAACCAAGGTACCACTGTACTGTGTTGAGTCCCTGGGGTTGTCCATTAAAAGTATTTTAGAGTAGGAGGAGTAAGAAATTTCTCTGTCTGAAACTTTGGAGAACCTCTGCTAGAGTTGGCAATACTAGACTAGGTAGGCCAGTAGTCTGATTCAGAACAAATCGTCTTTATATGAATCTCAGAATAAATAATGTAAGACCAAATATTGTTAAAAATAGCAAACACATTACATTTTGAAACAACCCCCCCTCAAAAAAATAACTCTGAAAACACAATAATTGAAATACTCCTCGCACACTTGTTTCAAAATAACAAGAAAATCCAATAAACATTTATGTGCATTATACTAGATACTTGACATTTCTATGCACTACTCACATCTGCATATATGTTAGGTAAAGCTATTTCGGGCATTTAAAATTGGCTTGGTCCATTGTTGTGTCAAATAAAATAAGTGCTTAAAAATTTGCATGGAAGGTAGGAGAGTAAAATTGTTTCAGTCCTGAAAAACACCACTTAGAAACGCTCACACTTAGGACTCACTTGATGGGAAATGATGGGCAATCATGTAAATAATCTATCACTTTATTCAGCCACTTTGTAGGAGGATGTTTAACATTATGAATAATGTTTGATCTTCATCCTCTTAAAAAGGAATTCCTTTTTATATATCTTGTGGCATAGTAAACACAACTGGCTGAGTTACTATTCAAGGTTTTTAGGAAGCTAGGAATGTAAGAACCTACCTCATACCAAGTCTTAAAGGTAAAAGGACCCCTGACCATTAGATCCAGTCGTGAACAACTCTGGGGTTGCGGCGCTCATCTCGCTTTATTGGCTGAGGGAGCCGGCGTACAGCTTCTGGGTCATGTGGCCAGCATGACTAAGCCGCTTCTGACAGAACCAGAGCAGCACACGGAAACGCCGTTTACCTTCCCGCTAGAGCGGTACCTATTTATCTACTTGCACTTTGATGTGCTTTCAAACTGCTAGGTTGGCAGGAGCAGGGACCGAGCAACGGGAGCTCACCACGTCACGGGGATTCGAACCACCGACCTTCTGATCGGCATGTCCTAGGCTCTGTGGTTTAACCCACAGCACCACCTGCGTCCCTCATACCAAGTCTTACCTTTGGTCCATTTAGCTCAATCTTATCTACACTGACTGGCAGCAACAGATCTCCAGGTTTGCAAACAGCCCTAATGTGGAGATATCATGAAATGGGCTTTGGATTGATGCATGCATAGCATGTGCTGAGCTACAGTCCTGCCTCTTTTTTGTTTTCTATATGGTATGATGGACAGGTGAGTCAGAGAGAGACATAATTTGAAAATTAACACTATAAAACTCTTACATACACATGGAGCTATCTTGGCAACAGATTACTTGACTCTTTTGAATCTAGGCAGCTGATTCACTTGCACAAATATTACTTAGAGGAACTAGCATCCTCCTTTCAAAACACAATTGCCCTTCAAAATTTGCATTTCTCTGAATTTTGCGGTGCAGTTCTGCAGCCAATCTTTATAAAAATGAATATGTTGAGGGGGGTGGGTGCATGAGTTGCATACTTTGGTGAAAATTGCATACAAAAATGCATTATTGCAGGAAAGTGCTCTGAAAAATGTATATAATAGTCAAAACTGCAGAAAAGTATATATAGGGACAGATTTCACATTAAAATAATGATGAATTTTCAAGACAACATCTACTTGCTGAGGAAGCACGGAGAACTGAATGGGAAAGTTTGGAAAAATTAGAAACTGGGGAAAACATTGAAATTATCCAGTGATTGTAAATACAGAAAAAAATCTTAAAACTTTTTTTGTCAGTCTGCTTGTCCATTAATTGATGTGATTAGTTCCTTGCTCAGGGTGTTTTGGGGAGGGTAAAAATGTGATGTTGTGGTTATATTAGTATTATTTTAAATTACTATTATTAAAGCCTTCTGAAATGTTGTAAACTACATTGAGAGTGCAGTGGTGACCTGAAAGGTGATTTATAATTAATTTAATTAAAACATAAATAATAACATAAGGACGGAGCAGGGCTAGTTTCTAAGCCTTGAGTTGCTATCATGCACCTTGAGGTGATGGAGGCAAGTATAATGACTGGACATGGGTTTCATTTTTCTAGTGTATCTTGTTTCAGCTGTCAAAAATGCCTTTTCTCTTTCTATGCTTGCCGCCCTGTTTATTTCTGTTGCATCCAATCTCCCTGATGATCTGCAGAATCCCAAAATGCTTTTTTGTACTTGCTGAACTTTACAAGCAGCTTGACAGGTTCTATCTAATTTATGAATTGTTCCTGATATCAAGGCTGATTAATCTCCTACACTGTATACATGAAAAACTTTACATCACTTTGACAATAAGCCAAGTATATGAAGAGGTGGATATTTTCCTTCTTATAAAAGCAGGTTTTCTAGCTACAATACGGGTGTTCTGTTATTTACCTAGTTTAAGAGACAGTCTCTATTTTTATTTTTACGCCTCAATTTGTTATGATCTTGTGAATTGGCCAATTAAAGCTTTCAAGTCTGCTATCTTCAAGGACTGTCTCTCATAAAGCACATTATAGTAATCAATCCTAGGTTTGTACTATCATGACAGTATCCATCTTCTCCAGGAAACTGCCTATCTATGTAGCACCTTAAACTGATAGTAGGTACTCCTGGCCATTGCTGATACTTGTCTTTCCAGAAGTAAAAGAGAGTTCAGAAGAACCCTAGGCTCTTAACCTGGTCAGACAGATAAATTGCCAACTTATCTATCCCAAGAAGCATTTCCAGCATTTCCTTAATCTTGTCTTCATTCAGTTTCAGCCTGTTTAACCTTACTTAGCTGACTGCAACCTGCAAATACTGGTTTAGAACTGAGGCAGCTGTCGCTGGATACTTATTTAAATAAACAGAGATCTGGATGTCATCAGCATATTGGTTGACACCCAATTTCAAAATTTCAGATTATCTCTCTCTTTGTGGCTTCATGTTAAGGAGCATGAGTGATACAACTGAGCCCAGTGGAACACCATGTCAACCGCCAAGTGGCTGAGCTAGCATCACCAATTGGGGACTCCTTGAATGCATTCCAATCTAGAAGCACGAAACCATTCTAGAGAAATCTGACGCTGCTACTAGCTTTTCAAGGTGGATTTACAGAATGACATGTTCTCCTTATCCAAAGGACCTCAAAGTCCAGGGATTATCAAGAAGGAAGAGTTCTCTCCGTCAACTTCCAGGCACAGATCATCCCTGCAGGGATCCTCAGTCACATAACAAGGCCAGAAGTTTGACTGGAAGAGATTGAAGGAAAATGTGTCACCCAAATGCTGGTCTTCACCACACATTCAGCTATCCTCTGATAAAAGAGAATGTCTTAGACAGCTGGCTAAATCATTCCTGTGTAGTTTCTTCAAGATTGGTAGATTATCAGTTCCTTTAACTGAGGAGGAACTCTCTCCTTATGCTGTTTCACCCCATAGCCCTTTAAGCTCAACTAGCCAGGCAAGATGGGCAGCAATCTAAACAATATGTGGTAGTCTTCACAGTGCCAAACACTCTGTCAATAACCTCAAGGGAAACAAGACTGAAACAATTTTCCTTCCATTCTTTCAGATTTCATAACTCTTTGGCTTGAAAGAATGATTGCTACGGCGCTGAGTCTTTATAGAAGCTTTTGCTCACTTCCTGTTCTAGAACTATGGAGAGGTGTCTCGCAACACAGAAAGCCACCCAGACTATTTTCATCTTATCCACTTAAATAATTTTTTTTAAAGGATTTAAGAATATGTTTCTTATTATTTTCATCATTCTTTACGGCATACTTCCCTCTCCAGGTTTTTTTTTTTAAATTAAACCCTATGGAAATCTTTTATAAGATCTTGATTTAATTCTTTTGCAGAGTCTTGGCTACATTATCTATGTGAATTGTGGTTGGAATATGAGCTTGATTGATCTTTGTGCTTGGAAATTGCACCAATTAGCTGGCAATCCGGTCAATGATGTCATTGAATTCCGTTTACTTTTTACTCTTGCGTAGCTAAACAAGCCAGCGCAGCATTTCTCATTTCATTTTTTATTAACATTGCTATCATGTGGAAAAGCCATAGTGAAAAGAAGGGGATTGTTGCATGGCTTACTGCCCTTGGGCCTGATACACAGCAAGGGAATGTACCAAGGACAGAACAGCAAATGTTTGGTTGTAGTGTACTGCAACCCTTGATCCTGCCCCTCACCTGCAGCATCCCATAGCAACTGGTGTGTTGGAAGCAGAGCCATGGACTCTCTCTCCCAACATTGGTCTCTCTATGTCTTTCCTGGATGGTGCAGGGCAGTGGCAAGCTGCTGGATCGGCTTCACCAGCACAAATGTTCAACTTTCACCTTGCCACTGCTGTACTCCACCCTAGTCAGATCCAGGTAAGCTATAGCGACGCCAGTATCAGGAGGGCGACTTAATGGTTCTGCCCCACCACACTGGCTACTGCTGGTAGTCTCCAAAGCATAAACATGAATAGAGTTAGCATTGCCTCAACCATTTGAAGATTTAAGTTTTGGATTTTGTATCCCATCATGATTATAACAACTAGTTAAAAACAAAATGGAAGGTTCTGTGTGTATTTTTCCCCCTTTGCAGTGCAGCTTCATCTTCTTATGCAGAGTCACTGATAGCATCCTTGGGCAATTGCAATGGCCCCAGCATCTTTACCTTGCTGCTGGCACCTGCCCTCACCTTCTCCTTTTGAAAAAATCCAGCCCAGCTCTCTCTAAGAAGATCTAGCCGCTTTTCTCATTTCCCAGCTACATAGCATTGCTCTGGGGCAAATTTTAATCATGGCTAGATGCCGTCACCTGTACTGCTTTGAATGCTTCCCATTGTTGCCAGGTAAGCTAACCTTGGCCCAGCGATGGAGGAAATGGCCCAGCAGAGGGCACCTGGAGCCAGCACTGCTGCAATATTCAGAATGTTCTAAAGGCCTTCAAGGGAAGCTCAGGTTTCATATTCCTTCCTTTGCAGAACAGCAAATGATCTACTGAAGTTAATGGCTGCTTTGCCATAGATTTCAGTGAGCTTAAATCTCACCCCAAGTGATTAATGGACTTGTAAGGTGGTCTCTTCTCTGACTGCCACATGTGAAGCTTACTGTGGACTGTATTGTTAAACCTGCCAGATTCAACAGATGTGATTTATCTCCCTGCTTTATATCATCTGTGATCTGCATTCAGCTATAAATCCCTTTTCTTCTGGGGAACTAAGACAAATTAATCAAGTGATCTGCTTCTTTTTTGAGTGTTTTCACCTCATTATTGGGTTTATTCATTCTGAAATAAAGAATGCTTTATTCTTTACTCTAGAATAACTAATATTTTTTGATGTTTGCACATGATTAGAAAGAGAATGGAAGGGACCATCAGTAGCCAATTCAGTATATTGCCATGCCATGATATTATTTTGACCTGCTGCTAGAAAAAATTATGGTAGCAAGCAGGCATTGTGAGAGCTGGGGATACCTACTGCGCTGACTTACTGTACTTCAGATATGAAGTTGTCTTGGCATTGAAATACTATTTAACTGATAATGCATATGATTAGAGTTGCTAGTGGTTTAATGTCCTTGTTTCAAGCATTTTCTTTCTTTATTTTGCCTGCTTGCAAAACAAACGATAACACTTTTTCTTCCAAACAACAACATAGGAACTAAAGGACAGTATTTTCAAGACTGGAATTTTGTTGAGATAACACCCACATTTAAGATGGTATTCAACTAAATAATACTGCTAATGTAACAGGACTTTCCCTGTCTCCTCGCCCATGCATGCCATCCCCTAAATCTCCCCCGGAGAGTTAAGGGAACACCCTGCAATGGTATTGTCCAAAAAGTCATCTACTTCTCCATGAACTGTCAATAGGAAAATAAGACTGGAGCATTCCACCACCTTAATTCTTCATCATGCTTTACAAAAAAAAATACTGATTATCCAACAGCTCTGAAATCTAAAAGTGACTCTATTCTTTGAACTGCTGACTATCTGGCTGCAGTTTTGTGCTGGCACAGGGACAGCCAATGTAATGCCTTCCAGATGTTTCTGGACCACAACTTCAAGCTCCCAGTTAGCATTGCCAATGGTAGGGTTGGTGGGAGCTGCACTGCAACGAAAGATTCCTGCATTACAGGGGGTTAGACTAGATAGCCCTAATGGTCCCTTCCAACAGTACTATTCTAATATCTGGAGCGCACCCTGTGCTCACAGAATGCACTTCCACTTTGGCAGGTGGAGCCCTTGTTTTTTTTGCCAGTCCCTCTTGCCGACTGCCATATCCACTACTGCCCCCCAACCCTTAGAAGCAGCTTTTCAGGAGGCCTGGGGAGCTGCAGTATTGCCCCCTCCCCCAAAAACGGTGATCTATTGCTCAAGCAAAACTGCTTTCCACTTGTGAAGAATCACCATCAGATAAAACCCAATGAATTTGCAGCTTTTTCCCAACCGGGGGCTTTCGTATGAAGAAATCAAGAACTTTGACTCCCACTTTTGTTTTGCGTTCGTAGATATTTGCCATCCTTGCCTTTTAATGGGACCCAGTCGCAAAACTCATATTTTGTATGTTGGAGTCCCTGTCTCTTCTTGAGAAGATCAGGGAGGAAAATATTAGCTGATTTTATTTTGTAATACTGCAGCTAAGAGCTCAAGGAACAACAGAGTCCCGTCCCCTCCAATAGATCTTCAAGTATACCATATTGTATTTTTCGCCCTTGGTTGTTGTTTTTTTAATAGTTTATCTACAAATGAAAGTGAAAGGAGAGGTATGAAGCATCTTTCAGTTGGCAGGCCTTATATTAGGGAAGAAGAGCGTTCTGACAGATCAATTTAATGAACCGATTGATCTCTTCTTTAAATGATGTGGGAGTAATGGCTTTATTGTCCTCTGCATTTTATATAAAGGTTATATTTTCATTCCCTTGACTGAAGCATCAAAGAGAGAGGGCATTAAAAAAAATCCTGTTTAACTATTACTTATTATACTACTTTTTCTTCTTTTCCTCCCCTTATTCCCCTACCCCTCCTTCCTATAGACTCACATCGAGAATTCCTTCACAGGCCTGCTTCTGGATACGTGCCAGAGGAGATCTGGAAGAAAGCTGGTAAGAATTGTTTAAAAATACGAGCCTAGCAATTTGGCAGCTGTGTGCATTTGTTAATGTTCTGATATAAAGAATAAAAGGGGTGGGGGGATGTGCTACTAATAAGCCAAAGTTTCAGTTAATAGTCTTAAACTGGAACAGATCAGAACACCAGAACTGTTTTAATTAGAGCAGCATCTATGTCTGAAGATAAGGAGATGTCAATATGGAATTTTTTTGAAAGAAAGAAAGAAACCCAGATAATAAACAGATCATTTTCAGGGCTTGTTTCACATTTCCTTGTGGAAAAGCTACGGTTCATTCTTGAACATTGACACACATGATTTTTCTAATGGTTTAGCATTGAGAAGTCAAATAGAATTTGGGAAGCTGGGCCTGCCTAGAAGTCATTGTATTGTATTTGCAAGATGTGCCTCTTACTATTGGCATGTTCTTACACTTCGGATGGAAGTGCTTGTAGTTGGCTTGTAGCAGTGGGAAGGCATTGCATAATAGGCACAAGCCACACCTCCAGACCAGGTGAGACAATATATGCTGCCTCAGTTAAGACTTTGCTAATAATCCCAGCAACTTCTAAAAAGGGGTGGGCTTAAGGGGGGGGACATTGGAACAACCTTGATGTAGTAGAGCATGTGTGAAGAACCTTTTGTCCTTCAGATGCTGCTAAACTACAACTCCCATTATCCATGACCACTGACTGTGCTTCCTGGAGCTGTTTGGAGTTGTATTTTAGTAACTTCTGGAGGGCCAAAGGTTTCCCACACCTGGTCTCAAGTCTCAGGAATAAATAGTGTCAGTACCAGAGGCAGAGAGAGGCAGAGAGAGAAAGGCTAGAGTTAAACTATTCATTATCTCTCATGGGGATGTTGTGAGGTTGGGAGTGGTTAGTCACCCAGTATAGAATACCACCTTAAGTTCCTTGAAGGCAAAATGTGAGAACAGTGTAGGATAGGATCCTTTCTTCTTGTCCTCCATCTTATCCTCCATCTTAAGCCCTTGTGAGTAGGCTAGTCTGACAAGAATCTCTATCTTTTCCTTTCTCCTCCGGCAAATTATTGCACTTCATTAGCTCATTAGTATACACAGCCGTTCTGCCAGCATCTTAAATCCAAACACTGTCACCAGCTTATATGTTTTACAGAATGCAATTAGCCCTAATTCTAAGGGGCCACTTCATAATTATAGCCAAGCATGGGCACTAAAATTTGTAAGCAAGCACTCTGTGGATTGCTTGCAGAGTCTCCACATCAGCAGCAGTGGCTGCTAGACAGGTATGGAGGAAGACTTTTCACAAGTTCCAACCAAGACTTGTAATATTACAGCTGCCGTGCATACCACTATCATGGGACTAGGAAGGCTGCCTGTCGTGATACGCTCATGATGTCATGCATCTCCCCATATTATGCACCTCAACCAGGGAAAGTGTAAGCTCTCTCTCTGCCCCACTCGTGCAGACAAACAGGATCTTCTCAGCAGTGGAGGCACTGATCATCTGAGAGCAGCCTTGCTTAGCGGTGAAAGCATGGCAGCACAGCTGCATGAACAGCACTCTCTGTCTCCTCCCAGAGAAGAGAGGAGAGCTTTTAAGATGTCCTCTAAATTTGCAATGAGGCCGATCCTCCAGAGTCCTCTAATGCATCTTCTCATTTCACGGGGGTGTCCATAGCATTTTAGCTCTTGAACTGCAAAAGCTATGCTGGAAAGAGGCAAGACTTTACGGCCTTTTCAAGGACCCAGTGTGCCTCACACCAGGCTATGTGCACACCATGCATTTAAAACACATCCAGAGCACAAAACTGACACGGACTTGAAATAGATGTACCCATCCCTAGGACTGAGCACTAACGTTTGATGATTTTTAATCCCTTCCCCCAGTTCAGACAAAGTGTTAGAGATAATAGATTTGTTTTTTTAAAAAAAAAACTATGTTCATTGGTAACTGTGCTTCGTGAGATAAAAGGCATGTATTTAAGATTGTGTCTTCTTTAAAAATATATATGAAAATGACAATAAAATTTGCATCTGTGGGTTTGTCTTCATATATTTCTTTTCGAGGGATCAGAGAATGTTTGCAGTTGGTAATAAATATTCAAGCATCTTGCAAATGTCCTACCAATTCTCTTTGCTGATCTGCGTGTGCCGGTGGGACTAGAATAGGAATGCATAATTTAAATATAAATTGCCTTATTTGCATATACAATTAGTCAAGCTGCAGCTTTGATCGTAAGCAAAAATTATTGTCCTGTTGCCACTTAGATAGAATTGTAATTCACCTTGAATATTCAAAGTAAATTAGTCCCTGTCCTGCATAGCTGCACAGTCTGATTTCTCTCTCCCCTCCCCCCTCATTTATGGGAGGGTAATGTGAGGGCATATTTTTAACTCTCATAAAAATTAAGGCATACCTTTTCCCTCTAAAAATTTCCCCCTGTAAAATATTATGGTTTCTTCTCCAGGAATTTTCAAATTAAACACATCTCTCTGGAAAACAGATATCTTTTAATAAATGTATTTTATGATCAGTATCTACCTTAACATGTTTTAGCGTGCGTTTCAGTCTATTAAGAAAAATGTAGAAGTGAGGCGGCGCTAGCCTCACTTAAATGGGGATTTTGACAATAACGTTGGGGATATTAAAATGATTCAGATCTTTGGTTTCGAATGGAATTGCTCTAATAAAATATATGCCAATAAATTTCAAGATTGAAAGAACTGTGTAACCTGTATTATGTACCCGCCAAAGTTTTTTTTAACTCCGCCCCTACTCGCAGATCAAACTCTTTGTTGACCTGAGAGCAGTTTCATAGGCAGTTGTGATATGGCACTAGGGTGTGGAATATGTTTTTCTGGGAAGGGGCAGTCAAGAATCCCAGTGGGTACAAGCAACCCTTGAATTACACCTGGGAAGCATCCCTGGATCCTAGCCTATATGATTAAAAGCACAATCCTATATGCTTATTCAGAAGTAAGTCCCATTGAGGTCAATGGAATTTGCTTTCTAGAAACTGTTTAGAATTTCAGCCTTAACCTTAGCTGTCCTCTAAGCTCAGAAACCTCACAGGTTAAGAGAAATGATAGCTGAAGGTAAAGAGAACTAAATTTATAGTTCTCTGGGATACTCTACATCGCACTTTAACCACCGAACATTTGTAACTCTAATATTTTTATTCTACAGTAAAACATTTTTATTAGGAATCTTATGTTTTTAATTAAACAGAACATTTAATTAAGGTGCTTCTTAAGTGGGTGAAACAATTAAGAGCAAACACTTGAATGAAACATGTCATAATTAGTTTTAATAGAGTGTTAATTGGTACTAGGTTTGCCAAGTTAATAATTACTGCTTATTAAATTTTCAATTAATCATTGTCATTTTGCTTTGAATAAAGATGAAAATGAGATACACTAAATCAGGGGGAGGATAGTTTCCTTGTTAATTAGAGTAGTTGAGTTTTTAAAAAGGAAAGAAATCATTTGTTTCAGTTGTCAGTTGAACACGTGAAATCTTTCACTTCTCTTGCATCCAAAAACCCCCCACCATAAACTCCACTGGCTCACTGATGACAAGTCATGTTATCCAGTGTGAAAAAGCAGACTGCATTATGTTAGATAATGTAGATCTAAGGCATTGTAACCATCCTCACATTACTCTATAGCCCTAGTTCAGTTATGCATTTGAGCACATGCTTGTCTGGAACAATAAAAAGAGTCCTGTGACCCCTTAAATGCTAACAAATGTATTACGAAATAAGATTTTGTGGACTACAAGGCACTTCATCACAGATTTGCTAATCTTTAGGGCATCACATGCTTCCTTTCGGAATTTCTACTTCCTAGATGACTAACACTGTTGTTGTTATTGTTATGGGCATGATATTTTATTCACACACACACAGTATAGAATATAAATGTTTATGTGTGTGTTTTCTTGTTTTCTATTTTCTGATGTATTTCTGTATATGTTCTTCAATGTAAGTCACTTAAAGACCAGCTTGGTGACAAGTGAGAAGTTTAATTTTTATTAAGAAGAAATAACAGTACAGTGGTACCTCTGGTTGTGGACAGGATCCGTTCCAGAGCTCTGGTCGGATCCCAAGGTCTCTGCAACCGGAGGGACCGCTTCTGCACATGTGTGTGATGCAGTAGAGTGCTTCTGTGTATGCACACATGGCAAAACACTTCCGGGTTTGCCACTTTCGCAACCCAAAGTTTACATTACCCAAGGGTAACATAAGCCGAGGTGCTACTGTAAACATATTAGCAATAAAATAAAAACCATAAGGTGGTATTCTAATAAATTTTATTTAAAGTAGAACCGTCGAAATTAATGAAGACACCTAAGGTACTTTCCGTAAGTCTACTTTGAAGTAAAACTTGGTTGAATACCACCCAAGTGCTTCTTCGCCAGGTTACACCTCTCACCTTGAGTGCTTGAGTGCTGGAGGTGTGTGTGTGCATTGAATTATTGGATTTTTGTGTGACTTGAATGTAGACAACAAAAGTAAGAGTTACAACCATTTCCCCATTTTTGCCTCGATTCCTCCCACTGGCATGTGGCCCTCAGAAAGTTCCCTATGAGGGAATGTGGCCTTTGGGTTAAAAAACCTGCCATGCAATAACTCAGACAAGGCCTGAAATAATAGCCAATCCTTCCCCTGTTTACCTCTGCTTCAGTTTCCTTCCCTTCACTTGTTGTTTCCATTTCAAGACTGCAGGCCCCTTGGGGCAGGAAGCTGTGAAGCCCTGTTCCATGCCAAGTACATCGATGACGCTATATATTAAATTTGATGGCAAAATAGTTAGGCTATATTCTTTTTCCTTGGCATGCAAGCTTTCCACAGAGAATGTCTCTGGTATGCTAGTGTTCCAAAAGACTAGCAATCCCCTCCCATGTGCCATGAGGTGGTATAGTCCTTGAAGAGGAGTGTACCACACAAACAGTCTGTTTCGATTGGCTCTAAGTAAGCACATTGGAAAGTAGGCAATAACCCAGTAACAAATCAAACCTAAGTAACGGCAATATGGTTTTATTATTGTGAACTAACTAACTGGTGCGCCATAACTTAGGTTCCATTCGGTTGATGGAGGTTTGTCCTCATGAGGAATATCAAGAACTTTCAGAGATCTAACAACTTAGTACATGGGACCATTTCTCCTTGACCAACACCCTTTCAATGTTACTGTAAAGCTGAGGGAAATGTCTTGCTTTGCAGAGGAAGCAGTCAATGAAGTAAAACGTCAAGCAATGACCGAGCTGCAGAAGGCAGTGTCGGAGGCAGAACGGAAAGCCCATGATATGATTACTACGGAGAGAGCTAAGATGGAACGCACGGTCGCAGAGGCCAAGCGACAGGCCACAGAGGATGCACTAGCTGTGATCAATCAGCAAGAGGATTCTAGTGAGGTAAGCCCCTCCCCTGCGGAAAAGGTCAACTCCAGATTCACTCCCAGCATGAGCTTAAGTGGGGCCCATTGCCCCATGTTTGAGTTCCCCTTTCAAAGTATGTTTTCTTCCCCTCGTGTTTATTTTCATGTGTCTTTGCACTAGGCAAGCTGTTGATTGTAAAGAAAAAGCAAGAACGTTGTCTTAAGCAGAGGAAAGCAATAAGAAAAAGGAGGAGTTGACAAAAATTGAGTTAGGCGAATGGTCCTTATCTAGTTTGACTGGGAGCAGATTTCCAGTACCCAAGGTGAGGTCAGTTCCAGCTCTGCTGCCTCAAATCCTTTTTGTAACTGGAGGTGGTCTGTGGTCTACCAGTGACTTGAACATACATTGGCTAAGACTACAATCCCAAATACATCTACTGGAAGTAAGGGCTTAGCCACACTTCCTATTGTCCCACTGCTTTCCTCCAAGTCTTACTTTGAGGTGCCCAGAAGGTGCTTGTGAGTTTTCTTTCTTTCATTCTACAAATCATCTCCCTGATGGTGTGGGCTCTGCGGCCTTCCCAGGTGCTCACACTTAACAGAAAGCTCAGCCAAGGGGTTTTGAGGAAGCAGGGGCTGAGAAGGCTGCAGACCACCAAGAGATAACTGTACAATGGGAGAGGACACTCATTAACACACCCCTCAGTCACCACATAAGTATGATGTAAGTGCAAACTCTGCCCCAAAACAAATGTATTAAAGAATTTCTCAAGACTCCTGAGAAAGAGGCAGTGGTAGTGGGAAAACACCATCTTTTGCATGAGGTGAAGTTTATTTAGACATATCAGGCAAGATATGGCATAGCACTAATTTGAATGGGGCTTCAGCTTTGTGAATCGAGTGTACACAGCCTTCAGTATCTTAAGTGTACATGAGCATAGGAAGCTGCCTTGTATTGTGTCAGCTGATGGGGCCATCATGTCCACTGCTCTGGCTGGCAGTGGCTTTCCAAAGCCTCAGGTACAAGTCCTCTTTCCCCTCCTTCCCTCTCAGACTTACCGCTCCACCTTTTTTCATTTGTACAATGCCAGAGATTAAATTTTGAACCCTACGTGTGTGTGTGTGTGTGGCCTATGGATACACAGGCTTAAGTGCAAATGTGCTAGTTCAAGGCTGCATCCCTAAGCACACTTACTGGGGCATCGGCCCCCACTGAGCTCAATGGGGGAGGGGTGTTCTGGGGGAAAAAACTTACTTAAGATTGAATGATTAAAGGCAGGGCTTCTTTTTTCTTTTCCCCCAGCCAGAGCTCACAGGAGTTCAGCACTGGAACCTCTTAGTTGGGCACCATTGCCTTTCAAAAAGAACAAGGGATAGAAGTTTATCATGAACTCTGGCACCTCTTTTTCAAGAAAAATAGCACTGATTAAAGGTTTATCACTCATGTATTTTGATCCTTAACATATATGTTTGGAAACAAGTATAACAGAGGTTAAAGAAATGGAGGTGGAGGTTATAAGGGCCAAATTACTTTCCCCTCAGTAATAAATATATACCCACATGCAAACACCAGTGGACTGAAATACAGCCATAGGAAATGCAAAAGTAGTTTAGAGTACAGGACACTGGTGTTGCAAATATGAGTTAGGAGCATAGTCTTAGGCTGACAGTCTCTCTCTGCTTTACGCTTCAAATTAAATTGTGTATTTTATGAAAAACAGTATGAGCACTCCAGTTGTGATGTTTCAAATAGCTTTAAACTGATGAAAATAGCTTTTGGCAGAAAAACAAACCCTTAAGTGTTATTCAGTGGCTAAAAGTGGCATTGTTTTTTTCCCAAAGGAAGGTGGAGTCTCTGTGTGTGTTTGTGTATTGGTCAGCATAGGGCTGGGTTGTCCTTGGGGAGCACAGAAGGAAACATGTTAGCAGAGTTGTGAGAATATTTCCTTAATTAGAATTTATTATTTCAGCCACAGGGATTATGTGTAAAGGGAAGGACTAGGGGCATAGCATATGGAGGAAGAAAAATAGAATCAAAGAGTAAATTAGATATAAAGATGCTTAACCTCAGTTCAGACTACAGCATGTCAACGAAAGCTTTGAATTTTTGTGGGATAAGGACATGTGGTACCCTGTATTAACAGGAACTCAGGAGTGAAAGAAAGCCAGTTCTGAAATGTTTGGGATAAAATGAATTCTTGTGTTTTTCATAGAATAAAGAAATGTTAAAAACCCATGCAGAAAGGAAAGTCTTGATTAAACCCGCCCCAATAAACAGATGCTAAGTATAATTCCTTTCAGTGTAACGTTGATGGGAGATTTCATTCCTTCCTTTTTATGATAGTCTTTTCTCCTCCCCACCTCCTCCCTCCCCCCCCAGCCGTTTACATGTAACAAGGTCTTTCAGAGAGCATGGCTTTGAATTAATTTATTCAATTCTAACTTAGAGATTTCTAAGGAGAGGTCTGTAGTGCTGACACATTTTACATATTTGTCTTATTGTGAAGGATTCACATGCTCTTAATTGTTTGAAATGGTTTCCTTAATGTATTCAGTGAGCTGGTAACGTCAGAGTGACTTGGGTTAAAAGATGCAAATTAGCTACTTGCCCAATCATGAAAGAACTGGCAAAAATCACAGGCAGATAAATCAGCGGCATGCTGCAATACGTATCCATTATTTAAGGGAGAGTAAGATTTTAATTGGTCCCAGGCATCTCCAGAGATGAAAGGCTATTGTGGAATCGCTGGGTGCCCAGAGTTTCAGCTTAATGTGTAGCAGATGAATAGGGAGGAGACAAAAGGAATTGATTTTCAACATCTGAAAGTTTTCTCAGGAAGAGAGTCTAGGAGAAGAAGTATATGCATATATTTTTTAGTACTTAACTGTTCCACTGAAGAATTAAATATGACATAAATTAAAATATAACAGCATTTTGTAGCTCAGATATGCCAAGGCAGTGTCTTTGTGAATGCAGTCTGCTATGATCATTAAAATACAGTCCTCTCTGTACAGATTTACATCAAGGACTTTCTTTTGTTATGAAAAGTTAAATCAGAAAGTTAAATATCTACCAGGAAGGAGTGAGCTTGATACCTGGAGGGATGCCTGAGGCTTTTGAACTTTTTGAATTGCAATATGAACTGACCCAGGCAAATGTGCATATTGAAACTTATTGAAATCCACTGAAGTCGGATCTGCTAGTGCAAAGACTTTGGCTGCACAACAAAACTTCCCCTCCCTCTCCTCTTCCCATGCATCCCTTCATGTTCTGGAGGGAATTTGGGGAGGGTGTGCAATGACAAGGAGGGGAAGTTCTGTTGAGCAAGCAGAAACCCTTGAGCTAGTGGATCTACTTTCTTGGATACCACCCTCTGTTATCCACTGACTTCCTCAATTCCTGACTGTTCCAATGCAGTTCTAAGCTCCAAAATTGGTATCAAAATGTATTTAGAAATGTATATGGGGGGTGTTTCTCTCTCTGACCCTTGGGGCTCTCACTTCGCCATACACCCTCTCCAAGCTGCATAACTTATTTCCAAGTCACATCTCTCACTAACCCTGTTCCATGTCCTCTTCAGATGTATTTGCCTAGATGGAATGTGTCCTTGAACTGTGACAATGCCTCTTACTGACCTGTCTGTGGGAGGAGAAATATCTGACTTTTGCATGGCTGGAATCCAGGAGCGATTTGCCCGGTGGGGCAGAGCCAAAGCAACAGCCAAAAAAAAGTTTGCTGAAAAAGTTTGCTGACCCCTGCTCTACAGGTTCCAAACTTTAAGCCCACACTTGTTCGCCCCAAATGTCTGAATAGGGCTTATGAATGCATTCAAAACAGAATCAGGAATGAGCCACTCAAGCATTCCCTCCTCTACTGGCCTGCATGGCTTAATCAAGGATGTCCTCTTCTGATTAAACCATTGTTTGTTATTATGTTTGAATGGGGGGAAATATGGTTCAGGCAAACTCTCCAAACAGAATGGTTAGCAATACTCATTAGGCAGTACATTCAAACCATAGTTCAATCAATTGCTTCTTCTATGGATCCAAAGATGAAGTAATTGATTAAGTCACATCTTTAATTAAGGGAGCTCCCGAATTCAACCTATTTCTTTCCAAGGCTAGACTACCACTTCCATAATTTCACTTGAATGAAAGTTGCGTTAACACGCACCTGAACGTATCTTTGCTACTGCACGAAGCATAAAATTGACCTTTCTCCACAGCTTAAAAAAATAAAAACAGGAAAAGTTCCAACATAAATGAAAGAATTGGTCTAGTTGTGCTAATTGGTTACTTAATTTCATTGGAAGAAAGGATGTTTTAGAAGTAGAACAACCCGTCAACAGATAACTTCTTCACCACTTCTTTATAGCTATAGAAAAGGAAGCTAGGCAAAAAATGATGCACTCATCAGAAGACTATTTGGCTAGGAGCCAAACCATGTGTGAACATGCTCTCCTTTAGTGACTTGCTGTGCTTGGCTTGGCTTTATGAGTTGTGCAAATGAATTTAAATAGTGAGGACGAATGGCTTAGTGAACCTACTGCCAAGGTTATTAGAAAAGTTAAAACATCTGTTTTCCTGTACCAACGTACAATGACACTGGAGAATCTTACACATACCGTACTCTTCACTGCCCATGTGGGTTGTAGAGTTTTTGCTAGCTGGAGCAGATGCTTTTCTTTTCTTCTGACATCTGTTCAGATAAAAACACAAGTGCAGCTGATCCAACAATATTATGTTGGGTTTATCTGCTTTGCAATTTTGCTCGGCTGTACATTTTGAAAACACCACATCTAGCATCTCCCCCCATTAGCAGACTTTGGAGATCACAGCCAAAAGTGTGACACCTAAATGAAAGAACTCTGTGGAGCATTGCTGCAGTTCATATTGGTAAATTCACGTATTTATAGGCATTTGCAAAGTGACAACATATTAATTTTATCACAGAACACACTTGAACTATATCTGTGTTCACATATTCAAAGTGGGTGAAGAGTGGAGAGATTCTGGGGTTTCCCACATTTTTAGTGA